TGTCACTGGCCCTCATATGTGGGATCTGAACCGGGGCCCTCTGGCGTCCCAAGCCAGTTCTTAACCATCGCGCCACTCGGCCGGCCCCAGAGCTCTCACTCTTGATCAAGCTCTTAACCAACTGAGCCATTTGGCCGGCCCCTGACAGAATTTTTAATGTATAACTTACTATTAACTATATTAAGTTAAATCTTGACTTCAGAAGAACATGATATCCCTTTAATAGCTGCTCTAATAGGCATTCTGAGAGGTTATAGAAAATGAAATGCACTATGAAGATCTGATTAAACCCTAGAGTGAAGGCAGTCTTCAAAGGTAATGTAATCATTCAGGGATATCATAAATAGGAACAGGCTAAGCACAGACAACCCTCTCTGCTCCTCCTAGCTATGAGTCCCAAAGGTATCTAGTCAAGAGTTAGGAATTACCTATATCATTAAGAAAAGTGGGCTATTTTACTGGGAACACCACCACCACAAAGAAAAACTTGGTGGAGTCCTGTGGCCCTTTGGAGTGGGTGGAGGAAAGGGTAGCTAAAATACAAGTACTATATTAGCTAAATCTTCTTTACTAATTTCAAATGAGCATTACTTTTTCATCAACAAGTACAGATAGAAGTACATCTCTATCACTCAAAAAATTTAGTAAAGGATATATAACAAAAATTAAAATATCTCTAGAAATATTTGATTTGATCCTATCTCAAAACAATAATTGACAAAGCTGTTAGTTAGCATGGAAAATTAAGAAACTCCTTCAAATCCAAAATTCATGACTAACAGCCTCAAACCCTTCCTTCTGGTCTGTATCTTTTAGACATAAGATATCTGAAAAGATAGCTAGTCAGGAAGTTATGGTTCCTGACAGGGGACATAATAAATTCTAAACAGCTTTAAAGTTTAAAACTGTTATGGGAAATAACTGTCTTCTGCTAACACAGTACTCCTTAATGCATAATGTTCATCTTTACCATGAGTTTCTAAACTCTAATTTTAATTCAGTCATATTTATATCAAGATTATAAAATGTTACATTTTAGAGTAACAGTTATAAAAAATGTTATTAAAAGTTTTGCTAAAAATATATATTTTTTTGAAACAAGTATAATTACACAAAATAACACGTAAGCTAGATTTGGAAACCCCCCATACTATTTATAAATCATATGTATCCTCATAAATTTGGAACGTAAACCTTTATCTTGATAACTGCTGGTTGTTCCCAGGTACTGTAAGTCAGAATCCACACTTCCAGTTTTACCACATATCTGTGAAAATCCAAGTTGTCCACATTTCCCAGAAAGGTTTGTCTGATGAGTGCCAACAGTGCCTTTGGAAGGAACAAAAAGAAAAGCATAAAAGTAAAGGTTAGCTTTATTTCATGAACACATCTAATTGCATAAATGTTGGCATCATTTATGTGGACATAAATATAGAAGTATGGACAGTGAGCCAGGCAGGCATGAAAGGGATAAAACTTTTGCTACTGGCAGATCTGATTAGTGGCAGGCATTAAAGGGCAGAAAATAGGCTGGTAAAGTACAGAGAAAAGTATATTGACAAATACGGACGAACGCATTTCTTCCTACATGCTCTCTTCTCTTCCCATGGAGGGGTGTTGGGCTGGCTTCCCTTCTTCCTAGTGTTTATAGTACACACTCTACCCAGAAAGTTCTACTGTAGGATTCTCCTATCTTCCTTCCTATCATGTAACAGCATTTACATAGCTTATCCAGCTATAGTTCCCAGATTGCTGACCCTCTCCTGTGGGCTGGTTAAGGTTATTCCTGGGTAGGAGAATAAGTCTGAATTAAAGAAGGTAATAATGACCTGACGTTCGTCTATTCCGCTACAAAATGAATCGATCCCTTGTAGTTCTGACATTCTATGATTTTTTTACATGCTTTCCCTATGATTTCAAGTCCTTTCATCCTTCATGCTCTGGACATCTTCTAATTCTCACCTCCACGCTTGGTTATGCTTTCTCCCTACCTGCATAGTCCCTCTTGCCTCACTGCCTTCCCTTCTTTAAAGTCCAGCTAAGTCCAACGTCTTTCCTGTAGTTTTCGTAAACCACTTCATCACCTATGGTCTCTTCCTTTCTTGAACACCTAAAGTACTTATAATTTGCATCATCCAATCTAGCATTAGGTTTATGTTGTCTTATCACACAGTTATTGAAAATCTGTACTACTAGGTAAGAGCTTCTCAATGGTACAGAATCCATGAGCCTTATAAAAATACAAAGTAATGGTATGGTTTAGAGTACCAATGGTATGAGTATAACTGGGTATCTTCTTGCATTTATTTTTATCTTGCATTTATTTATTAAATAAACATTAACCTCACAATCATTATAACACTTTGTTTTTATATGAAAACATTATGGAATATTACTGCATAAAGATCTATAAGTTCTCCTAGGGTAATGTTTTCTAAACATTGTGTCTAAACTCACAGCCAAATTTCAGTAACTGTTATCATTTGGATATTAAATAAATGTTAAAAGCTATGACAAACTCAATGAAAAATTTCCTTAATGAAAAAATTTTCATTAGCTCCCTATAGTTTAAAAGCATGAGCTCAAATTTTTACGCCTAGCACACAGGGGTTCCCCATATCCCAATTTATCTTTGGCCATCTAAAATCAATCTTGTCTTTACAAAGCTTCCAGACTATATCTCAAGCCCATTCCTCATATAAGCATCTACTCTCCTCATATCTCCCCTCTAATTACTTTTTACAAGTACCATATACATCCAAAAAAGATGCAGTCCAAATACTACTTCCTCTTCAACACATTTTCTAACTGATATGGCCCATGACAATGACCATGTCCTCTGAATTACAATATTTACTTTGTGTAACATTTGCTTAGCAATTAAACATCGTTCCAGCTGCCCCAGCCAAAAAGCCTTACAGTGTTCTTGTGCCTCTCTCTCTCTCTCTCCCTCTCCCTCTCTTCCCCTCTCTTTCTCTCTCCATACCAATCATATTAACAAATCATATCAACTCTACCTCTGACATATAGACAGAATTCACACCTTCCACGACATTCACCGCTACCCTGGTCACAGCCTCCACTAACTCTAACCTGGATTATGACAACAGGCTCCCTGTTTCCGCCCTTCAAGTCTACTTTAAATGTAACATCCTAGATTTCCTAGACAAGCCTGGAAAACATAAGGTAATTGATGTTACTTCTTTCCTCAAGATGTTCCTCAGAGTAAAAGCCAAAGTTCATTCAATAGCCCACTAAACCTCATAAATAAAGACTCCTAATATTTCTTTAATTTCACTTTGTACTTCTCTTCCTCTTATTCATTTCATTCCAGAGTTACTAGCCTCATTGATCTCAAACATGCCCCATACTCTGCACTTACTGTTCCCTCTTCCTAGAACTATTTGCTCTTCTCTCTCGATATCTGTGTGGTTTGCTTCAAGTATTCCTTTCTGAATATGGCCTTCTTTCACCATATTATTTAAAATAGCCCTTCCTCCATATTCCTCTTCTCTGCTTTATTTTTCTCCATAGCATTTATCACCATATAACCTTACTTTTTTTTTTTCATTTATTTAATGTCTGATTTGCCCCAAATCGAATACAAGATCTATTAGGCAGAAAGTTTTCCCTCTTTTGTTGACTACTACACCCCCAGTACTTAGCAAAGTACCTGACACATAGCAGGGAAATACGGGTTATTGACTAAGCAAATACTGACTTACATTAGGACTTAAAGGGTTTTAGTGCGAAGCCCTTCTAGGGCCTTATGACACAATTTCTGTCAAAGTATCTATTCTTATCAGATCTTTAACAAATATTTATTGAATCTGAATTGTTTACTAGATTATAAGTTCTGTGAACCCTCAAATGAACTATGAAGTTTAGAGATATCTTTAACTTACTCTAACGTGTCCATTACCTGCATCAGTTACTTACCTGCAACACATACAGGAAGAGAATCTGAGTTAAAATCCCGACTATTCTGAAATAAGTTTCTTGACACTCTTTTTCTGCTAAAACATAAATCATCATTGACTGGCAGTCCTTGGGAGGGCTTTAATTTTGGAGATGGGATGAAATCGTTTGCTGAAAACTTTAAGAACAGAATAACAAGTCAGCAAATTTGTGCTGTCTACATGTAATAGATGAGAGAATAATTTAGACCCAATTATGAAATCCAAAGGAAAAAAATTAATCAAATATATGATACAAATAAACATCCACGTACAGCATGATACACTAACAGTATTTTTCACTCTATGATAGAAATACCATTTTTTCCCTCTTTCTTACTACTTTACCCCAAATCTTTTCTGTACCGTGCCTTCCTACAGTAACACATCTGGCAGCTAGGAAGGAAAGAATAAAACTAATGAAGTGAAATGACAACTTGAATAGAGAAAAGGACATTTTGATTCAGCAGTACAGCGCATCACCCTATGCCAGCTGCCAGCTGCCAGCTGCGTTTCAGCATTAGACAATAAATGACAAGTGAAGGTCACAGAACCAGCAAGCATCCCACTCCACTATTCTTATTGAGGCAGATTTGTTATTCATAATCTGCAGCCCAAATGTAAATGTGCATATGGTCACGGTTCTCTTAAAATATTTTCTTATGATAGGTCTTTTTGTTAAAACCAAGTACACAGCACTTTATATATGTAGAGTACTTTATAGTTTCCAATTCTTTTTTCATATGCCCCTTTTGATCTTTAAGGTACAAAAGTGCCAGGACAGAAATTTCAAGTTCTACCTAATCACAGTTAAAGAACTAAACAAGAGCATAATTCAAGTGTTCAGGATTCTTCATCAGTGACAACCTCTTTTGTCCTGCATCAATTCACATTCAACATGGCTATAGACATTTTAAAAATTGAGTGATGGGCCAGCCGAGTGGCTTAGTTGGTTAAGAGCTCACTCAAGAATGTGAGTTCTGAGAAACAGCAGTTCGATGCCCAGCCCGAGCTGAGCTGCCACTGAGCTGCCAAAAGGTGGCAGGATGGCTCAGCTAAGTAAAAAAAAAAAAAAAAAAAAAAATTGAGTGACAAGAAATTATACTTACTGTCTATATACACATATTTATTTGGAACTTAGAGACAATCAAATCGAGGCATGTGAGGAGCTATAAGCCTTCTCAGTAATGTTTCTTTGCAAATTTTACTAATTATTAAATAGCATTGAAATACAATAAAATTAATGTCTATTTGTAAACTTTTTAGCTACTTGACAATTAAAAGACTATAAACTACCAAATATAACTAGGGAACTTGTTATTCCTCATCACATTTTATGTTAAACCTTTTAACCCCTTCAAAAATTAACCCAGAAAATACTGATGAGAAAAAAAGAATGCCCCAGATGAAAAAGCCTGACTTTACTTTCTCGAAATCTGATATTATAAGTGCTGACTAATTATATAGTAGTCAGTATTAAAAGGACACAATGGAATAAAGATTAAACCAATTACAACCAACTTCTGATTAGGTACATTTAAAGACATCCTAACACAGTTAAAATACTGAGTAAGCCAGAAATAATTTTCCAGTATGGAATACTTTTTTTTTTTTTTTTAGCTGAGCCATCCTGCCATCTGTTGGCAGCTCAGCAGCTACTCAGCTGGGGCTGGGACTGGAACCGTTGTTGCTCAGAGCTCGCACTCTGGAATACATTTTATATTAGAATACTATGTAGTTAATTTCTGATTAGAGAACAGAACATTAGTCTGTATGCCAGAAACAACAAGTGGTGGTGGTGATGGCGATAAAGGGAGCAGTGGTAGAGAATGTGTGTGTACGTGTGAAATTTTCAAGAATCTAGGAGAACTCAGGGATTAAATTTTGCTATAAAAAATTCTACAAATATTTGAAAGCAAACTATAGGACACACCAATTATTAACAAGAGAGGCCCTTTTTGGTCTCTCTTAAAAGTAATCAAATGATTTTTCATCAGGATAAGCTGTCTCTTTATTCAATGAATAAAGGGAAAAGGAGTTGAGTTCGAGTAAAAGAGAAAAGATAGGTATATTTTGAAAGAGTTATAAACTCAATTTATAAAATATGAAGCAGTCTGTTTAGGGTACCTTGTGACTCTTAGAAACATACAGACTTGAGTTTTTGGTCTGTGAAGTTAACATCTAAAAATTTAATTCATTTAATTCCTTACAGTTATACTAAATGAAAGTGTTATAATAGGCAAATTTGACACTTAATATTAGCAATGACTTGAAGTTCATATAATCTCCTCTACTGTTTTAATCTTGCTTTTTATTATCCCCTAACCTTTGCATTTGATTCCTTGCATATTTTTCACAAATGTTTCTTTGACCTAGTGCATTTTATTTCAGCTTTTAGCAAGGGGTCTAAGAACAAAAAAATAATTTGTGTTTTGGTAGAGTTAGTAGCAAATTATCAGTAAAGGACTTTTTAATAGCTAATGCTCTCATAAACCACCTACACTCCTGCCTTTATTGAACTTGTACAAAATACCTTGATCTCCAGTTTTGGGAGCCTTTTACATTCTACAAGTTCATTCTGGTTTTTCCCTAGACTCCAATCTTGCTCCTAAATGGTGATCATTAAAAAGCTTATTCCAATTACCCAAAGTCACCTTTTGGAACATCTGTGTATGTGATTTTTTCCTTTTTCAAATCACACTCTATGTACACTTTAAGAAAACATAGTTGTGACACTGTGTGTAAAGTTTTATTGGGTTGTCGGAAAAGTCATGATGCATGTTTGCAACAGATGGCACTAGTTCATTTTTGGAAGTACTACAGTCATTCACATCTATGTTATTGCTATGTCATTTGACAGCTGACAGTTCTAACTTCATCCTAAAAAAAATATTGAGCGATTTGGTTGAGTTTTAGAGATTTTACAACAGTTGAAGATGGAAGACCAAACAGTGCATTTTTGCCATATTTTACTGTTTTACTTCCATAAAGGGAAGAATGCGCATCAAGCTTGTGAAAAGTCGCATAAAATTTACAGTGGCAATGCTCTACAAGAACATCAGTGCCAGGGCCAGCTGAGTGGCGCCTTGGTTAAGAGCTGGTTTGGGACGCCAGAGAGCCCCGGTTCGTATCCCACATATGAGGGCCAGTGACACTGCCCTCTACAGCTAAGATGCTGAACAACAGCTTGACCTGGAGCTGGGTGGCTGTGAGTCACCAACGACGGCATAGGCTGCAGCCCCTGCTGCAGTGGGTTGCCATGGGCTACTGTGTGTAACCAGCAGCCAGCGTGAGCGGCCAGCAGCCG